TTAGTCACGAGATTTAAGGATAAATGAGGATCCGAAAGATACTAAATTGAATGAAATCAAGTGATCTGAGGTGTCAAGTGATTAATTTGTTGATCACTACGTTAATATTATAAATCATAATTCAGGTGTTTATGATGATCAAATGGATACAAAATTAAGATAATGGAAATACTTTAAAACAATGGAAATGCTTTAATAATTTAAATCCATGAATCGAAATTATGAATTTAGTTACACAAAAACAAACATAAAAGGGCGTGAAGATCACCTTTTGGAAAGGACAGAGAGAGAAAATTAGACGAATTTTGTTATGAATTATTTATTTTGTTATTTAATGTTATTAAACCAAGCATATTATTGTATTTATTTATATTATTAATAAAGAGTAATTTTGTTAATACCTGAGGTGGCAAACATAATTCTCTATGGGCTCAGGTGTTACACCGGTATTGTAATTCGGTTAACGGTTGCTGATTTTTTGTCTGATAGGACATTTTACTGACATTATATTTCACCTAGTATTCCATTTTATTGATAGAAATTATACCAAAAATATTACATGAAAATTATGAATTTATATTACATTATTATCAATATTTTATTAATGCTCTACTCAATTTAATCGCTACAACTTGACCTTTATAATTTTCTATATACGTTTGTTTATTTTCAAATTACGTAAACAATTAATTTAACAAATTTGGAATAACTAATACTTACAAGTATTTATCTTCAAATGAGAATTAATACGCCAAATAATAATTTATTATATTTATGTCACACTATAGTATTATTTATTTTTTTTTTCAATCCATTTTATCAATTATTATTTATAATTTGAAATACTTCATATTCTTCTACAGAAAAATATTCTTTTGTCTTTCTGATTTGTTTTTCATAAGAATCTTCATAGTAACAGTAACTAGTTTTATTGCTAAAAGAAACTTCACCTTCACGACCTTCATAAATTATAAGATCTCCACCACCAAATGATGGTCCGTAATGGTGCCAATAATTTATAGCATAATTTTCATTCTTTACTCGACTCAAAATGTAACTTTCTACTCTTGTTTTATCAAAAGAGAATATAAAACTATCATCAGTAATTCCATATCCATTATCAGATTTCCATTTAATCGGATTATATCCTCCAAGAATTTCATTAGTGTCTTTCACTTTAATAATCGTTACAGTATTAGATTGATCATCACATATTTCATGAAATCGTTCAGCTGTGAATCCATCCCGAGATCCACGAAGAATTAACTTGAATTTATATGAATTTTTCAACTCATCTGTGTTCTCTAATCTATCAATCCATTTTGAGATTAATTCAGCATGTTGAATTGTAATAATTATTGAATCTATGTTTTTAGAACTTTTAGCTAATTGCGGTTCTGACTTATTATTTGGATTGTCAAAGTATTTAATCTTTTTGTATGGATATTGATTTTTAATTATTTTGGAATCGACTATTTTTTTAGTTGGATGTTGATTTTTGGAATCGACTATTTTTTTCGTTGATGGCCTATAATCGTTATCCAAAAATAGTTTTAATAATTCTACATATAACTCATTGGGTAGGATTTTCCTATAAGGAAACACATTTTTCAAGAATTCTCTTGGGGTTAAATCAAAGAATTTCATAAAAGGAATACATTGTTGCAAAGTATTTTTTAAAGCATTAAAATCGTCATTTGAATAATATGAAGGATCCGAAGAAAGCCCAGGATTTTGAGCAAAACCCCATTTAAGTACATGCTCCCAAACTTGAACTTCAGTCATTTGATGATTATCATGTTGAATAAGAGAAATTAAAGCTTTTTCTGGAGTCGAAGCAAAATCAGACGAATTGAAAATTTTTTCTGGATGTTTAGATATTAACTCTGTGCAAAACTTTTGGAGATCCAAGAAATTATTATTTTCAAAGCTCGTCTGGTATATTAGGTTAAAATTTTGTTCTATCCAATTTTCTTTGTTTTCAATCAAAAACGATTGAATATGAGGAATTAATTCTTGAAGACTTAGTTCATTAGCGGCAACCAAGATTTTAACAATATCTAAAATATTATATATTACTAGAGAAATTCTTCCGCCATAAATATATCTAGAATGTAATAATAATACGTTAACTAAAAAAATTTTTTTTTTTTACAAAAATAATGACTTTTATATAATAATTTAGTTTGTTATTTCTTACCTTAAAATTATTTGAAAAATTTCAGGTAAAATATTCGGTAATTTAATATGCGTTAAAGTTCCATCATTTTTCTTTTTATTAGTTGATAAAATTCTTCTCAAATAAGGAGAACGATAATTTAAAATAACCATATGAGCACGAAAAATTTTTACGTCAGGGTCATTACCAACTTCAATTGTAATGTCATAATATTCATCATCATCCAAAATATCGAGTAAATTTTGTGATAATTTTGTTAAAAATTTATTCGTTGCCATTATTGTCAATGTTAAAATAAAGAAAGAATTTTGCCAATCCTTAATTCGTGAAATGGGTTCAGTTTTCTTATATTGCAGATCTTTTGTAGCACATAACGGATAATTAATCGGAATCGGTTATCAATTATTGGGCGCAGTTTGATTTTAATAATTTTTTTAAATCAAATTTATTAATCACGAACTATATTTATAAATACTTCACTATCCTCAGTTGAAGATTATATCAGATGATAAATTTATAAAAAATATTCTCTCTTAAAATAGATTTTGTTTTTACTGGATAATTCAACGGCACGGCCATAAAATAATCTTACAGAAATAACTTAAAAAAAATAGGTTTTTTATTATTTTATTATAATAATATCGGTTAGATGACAATATAATAATTTAAAAATTTTTTTTTCTTGAAATTCTCACGAGGATGGATAAAAAAAAATTATTATTATTATAAAAAGTCTATTATTATTGGAATAAAAGTCTATTGTTAGTTAAAAAGGTATATTAATAGTTTTATGATCATAATAGTAATAGTTATTTCAAGGTTGCGCCGTGAAAATCATTGATAACTATTAATATATGAATTGATAACAGGCTATAATTTCCATCATTCGTTCATCGTTCACAACGTATTTTCTATTAATATCTAAATAATAAATATTAATAAATATATTTAGTGATAATTAAACCAACAAAATTAACGAAATTAAAAATTATCATCAATACGGTCACAAGATTATAAAATTCATTGTTGACGACACAGTCGACACACTCAAATATGAGAAAATGATTCAGGTCACCTTTATATGAAGGATAATTTCATTCATAAATAGTGACATGTTATTATAATTTATAAAACAAGTTAAAAACAAGCGTTATGATTATAATAAAAATATTTTTTGCAATAACTACAGATGAAATATTAGATAGAAATTTCATTTAAAGTTATTTTGCAACATTTTGCGTCATGCCGATCCATTTTTATTTATTAATTCAAAAATAAAATCCGATCTTTTACTTTGGTAGATGATGTTTTAATGGTTCATGCTTTAAGAACAATATATATATATAATGTTAAACCTGTTTTCAGATAGCAGGTTAATATAAAAAAAGTTAAAAAAATGCAAATTATTTTCATCGTATAAATTAAGAAAATTACAACACTACAAAGTTGTCTTTTCTTTGGAAATTTTTATTTGTTTATGCTTTTTAAATTTGTGTATATATTATCATAACTAAGTATCTGACAACTTCATTATCCATAAATCGTTTACTATTTAAGATCCCGTGATTACTGTTTCACAAGTTTTATTACTATATCGATATGTTTAAATCTTTATTTATAATAAGGTGATATAAATATTTATGTCCCAATATAGAATAGTTTCTTTGAAGTTTATAGTGGTACTAAAATTTAATATTTTATACACAACTTCTTGACAAACTAATTATTCATTTATGATCTGAAATATCTCATATTCTCCTACAGAAAAATCTTCTTTCGCCTTTCTTATATGATTTTCATAAGAATTTTTACAACAATAACTTGTCTTATTATTAAAAGAACTTTTATCTATATTCCCTTCAAATATCATAAGGTCTCCATTACCAAATGATGGACCGTATTTATCTCAATAATTTATAGCGAATTTTTCATTCTTTACTCGACTAATTATATGATTTTTGATATTTTCTTTATTCATAAAAGAGAAAATAAAACTATCTCCAGTAGTACCATGATAATTACTAATATTATTCTTAGTATTTTTATTCTCACTTTTCCATTCAATCGGATTATATCCTCCAAGAATTTCATTGCTGTCTTTCACTTTAATTATTGCTACAGTACGAGATCGATTATCACATACTTCATGAAATCGTTTAGCCGTAAATCCATCCTGAGATCCACGAAGAATTAATTTGAATTTATATGAATTTTTCAACTCATCTGTGATCTCTAATTTATCAATCCATTTTGAGATTAATTCAGCATGTTGAGTTGTAATTATTTTAGAATCAATAACTTTTTTATTTGATGGTTTATGATTATTATTCAAAAATAGTTTTAATAAATCAATATATAACTCATTGGGTAGAATTTCTCTATAAGGAAACACATTTTTCAAAAATTCTTTTGAGGTTAAATTAAAGAATTTTATAAAAGGGATAAATTGTTGCAAAGTACTTTTTAAAGCATTAAAATCTTCATTAGAATAATGTGAAGTATCCGATGAAAGTCCAGGATTTTGAGAAATACCCCATTTAAGTACATGTTCCCAAATTTGAACTTCCCTCATTTGATAATTATCATGTTGAATAAGAGAGATTAAAGCTTTTTCTGGAATCGAAGTAAAATCAGATAAATTGAAAATTTTTTCTGAATGTTTAAATATTAACTCTGTGCAAAACTTTTAGAGATCCTCATTTTCAAAGCTTATCTTGTAAAATAGATTAAAATTTTGTTCTATCCAGTTGTTTTTGTTTTCCATTAAAAATGATTGTAAATGGGAAATTAATTCCTGAAGACCTAGTTCATTAGCAGCAACCAAGATCTTGATGATATCTAAAATATCATATTCTACTAAAGAAATTTTTCCTCCATAAATATATCTTAGAATGTAATAATAAATAATACGTTAATTAAAAAAACTTTTTTTTTTTTTTTTTACAAAATAATAATCTTTTTTTATAACAATTAGTTTGTCATTTCTTACCTTATAATTATTTGAAAAATTTCAGGTAAAATATTTGGTAATTTGATATGTGATAAAGTTCCATCATTTTTCTTTTTATTAGTTGATAAAATTCTTCTCAAATATGGAGAACGATAATTTAAAATAACCATGTGAGCGCGAAATATTTTTACGTCAGGGTCATTACCAACTTCAATTATAATATCATAATATTCATCATCATCCAAAATTTCGAGCAAATTTTGAGATAATTTTGGTAAAAATTTATACTCAGCCATTATTATTATTATCAAGAGATATAGAATAAAAAAGAATATAAAAATTCTTAGTTTGTGAAGAATGTTATGCTAAACGATAAAATTTGGGTTGGAGTGGCTTTATTAGGATTTATTCAAGTGACTTATCATCGATCTTGATTAAGTTTCATCTGAACTGGAACAATAACAATTATTTTTAGTATTCAAAGAGCGTTCAACGCCAAGATTTTTTGCCAGAATTATGTAATAATAAAAAATAATATTAGGATTTTGGAATTTCCCACAATGAAATCCATTTTAAATAGTCGATTTATTTTATGAAGTAATAAAAACATGGAGAAATAAAATCGTAAAATCGTAAATTAATCTGTTGACTCCCCCTTTTTTATTTTCCTTAGTTAGAAATGGATACATACATGTAGATATGAAGGGAACTTTTGTAATTTTGTAACTATACTTGAATCCTGCAATCCAAAATCAAAATTATTCGTTTTATGGGAAAATCTCGAAAATATTGTAATTGGCGTAAATTATCTTTAAAAGTCTAATGCGTTTGTATTAATAATTATTTGTTTATTCTAGTTTGGATGAAATTCCCATAACCTGATGGTGTGTGTGAATTATCAAAACTCAACTTCGCGTCAATTTGATCTAATAAATTCCCAATTAGGTCGACAATGAGGTTCAATCTTATATTTTTTTGGTTTAGTCAAACCCACACGCTTAAATTGCCGATCATGTAGCGAGATTCTTACAGTAAATACTGTAAGCTAGATTAAACAAAGCTATAGAACAAAGAAAAAAATCAAGGATAAGGACGTGTTCAAAAGAAAAATCTTACTTTTTTACTTTCAACTGAAGATCATAAAACAACACATAATAAAAGTTAATAGGTGATGAAAAATTAATAATACAGGGTTTGACCAATAATACGAGTATAAATAAATATTCCTCTAAGAAGATGCAATTCTGTCACGTAAGATTTAACAATCTTTTCGAAATCAAAGCCAAAATGTATCTTCACAGTATCTTTCTGTAATCATCTTCGTATTTTTTGTCCTCAATTGCATTTCAAGAATCACCCATTCAAAGCTCTTTTTGCACATCATCTTACAATAAAGGTGTCGAAATATATGTCAAATCAAATGCTCTTGTCGTTAATGGTTGTGGATGTTATTACATGGGTTATAGATGTGCTTGTCAGTGTTGGTGTGATGGTGGTTGTATCTGTAGATGGTGTAAGTGTTGTTTAAGAGAACCAAATACCCAGGAACCCATCTATTTTCACAAAAATTGATATTGAGAATGTCAATAATTTGATTAATTAAAAGCGATTTTCAACATGTATGTAAAATAATATAGTAAATTTGACAAAATTTCTATTCATTAAATATTTAGAAGATTAAAAGTATAATTAACTAATTGTATTTTATTATTTTATAGTCGATTGATTTATTATTAATTTACTTAGTTATAACAACAAAGAAAAAACTCTTTTTTTTCAAATGTAAATCAGGATCAGGGCAATGTATAAGATATATATTTAATTTTAAAATAAAGTTTATTTTTAAATCATTTAAAAAAACTTATACGCCAAGCATAACAATGTTTTTTCATCTATAAAAATGTAGTTATAAAATAATGTTAATTATACATATTGTTTAATATTTAAAGACACGTAAAAAGCGTAAAATCACGTCATAACCATAGTAAATGTGCTATATATGATTTATAACTTATTAATATTATTGATAACATGCCAATAAAGTTTCAATTCCTGTAAAATATAATTAAAATATGGAAAGTCCATTATCAAATTGAAGGTCGCAGTATGCACATGACTACGTTCAATCAACAATTTGCCTTTATTGTATTAATTGTAAAAAACAAATTGATATAAAAAACTGTAAAGAATAAAAGAACGAATAGCAGAAGAAAAAAGACTAATTGAAATGGAAACTGTTTAAAATTTTTTTTTAAAAAAAATTATTATCATTCGTTGATTTTTTCAAGGTTTCAAAAAGGAAATAACACGATGAAGAAATTATTCAAAAAAGGAAACAATAGTGATTTGAGGAAGACGTTTTTAGGAGACAAACTAAAATTATAGATATTCCTCCGCTTTGCTTCGGCCTTCGGGTAATAATCAAAAAATCTTTAATGTTTAAAATGAAATAAAAATTATAGCTTTTATCCCTTTAATCATTCAAAACATTTATTTTAACTACAAATTATATGTTTTATGAATGAGTTTGTGAATTATTATTTATTTATTTTTTTCTTGATATTTTTTTTTCTTTTAATAACAATACATTTATATAAATTTATTAATTTACCCACTGTAATTTTAAGTTTATTTTAATTTATTAAACTGAAAATTTCATAACAACAAATTTTTTCAATCGCTCCACCAATTATTGTTGACCAAATATTATTTCTTTAATAACAAGTATGGAAAGTACTATAACAAAAATATGACATTTATCATGATCGGTGAAATTAACTTTGACGTCAGTAGTTATTAACCGGGTTTTAAACATGCAAAATTGCAAATTAACCGATCCAATCAATTAATATTGTGTTACAACTTCCAGATCTGCAATATAAAGGTTGAACCCATTTCACAAATTAGGATTGGCAATATTCTTGTGCTCTCTTTATTTTCCTCTTCATTTTTGACAAATATAATGGCAGATAATGAATTTTTACCAAAATTATCTCAAAATTTCCTTGAAATTTTAGACGACGAAGAATATTATGATATTACAATTGAAGTTGGTAAAGACCCTCACGTAAAAATTTTTCGTGCTCATATGGTTATATTAAATTATCGTTCTCCTTATTTGAGAAGAATTTTATCAACTAATAAAAGGAAAAATGATGGAACTGTAGCACATATTAAATTGCCGAATATCTTACCTGAAATTTTCCAAATAATTTTAAGGTAAAAAAGAATTAAACTAATTGTTATTAATAAATCAATAAAAAATTTTTTTTATTAACGTATTATTTTATTTAGGTATATTTATGGTGGAAGAATTTATTTAATAGAATATGATATCTTAGATATTATTAAAATCTTGGTTGCTGCTAATGAACTAAGTATTCGAGAACTAATCCCTCATTTACAATCATTTTTAATTAAAAACAAAACAAGTTGGATGGAACAAAATTTTAACTTGATATATCAAACGAGCTTCGAAAATAATTCTTTTTTGGATCTTCAAAAGTTTTGCACAGAGTTAATTTCTAAACAACCAGAAAAAATTTTCAATTCATCTAATTTTACTTCGATTCCAGAAAAAGCTTTAATCTCTCTTATTCAGCATGATAAAGTTAAAATGAGGGAAGTTCAAGTTTGGGAGTATGTACTTAAATGGGGTATTGCAAAAAATCCTGGACTTTCGTCAGATCCTTCAAGTTATTCAAATGATGATTTTAATGTTTTAAAAAATGCTTTACAACATTTTATTCCTTTAATTAAATTTACTGAATTTACTTCTAGAGAATTCCTAAATGAGGTATATCCGTATAAAAAGATTATTCCTGATGAGATGTGTGAAAATTTAGTCAAATATTTTTTGGATCATGATTATGTACCAAGGAAAAAATCAGAACCACAGATTATTAAAGAATTAAATACTAAGGGTATTGATTCAAATATTATTACAATTCAACATGCTGAATTAATCTCGAAATGGATTGATAAATTAAAGATTACAGATGAATTAAAAAATTCATATAAATTTAAATTAATTCTTCGTGGTTCTCGTGATGGATTTACAACTCAAAGGTTTCATGAAATTTGTGATAATCAATCTCGTACTGTAACGATTATTAAAGTAGTAGACAGCAATGAAATTCTTGGAGGGTATAATCCGATTGAATGGAAAAATAATTATAGTTTGAGGGGTAGTTATGGTACTACAAAGGATAGTTTTATTTTCTCTTTTGTGGATAAAAATAATATTGAAAACTGTCTTATTAGTCGAGTAGGAAATGTAAAACATGCTATAAATTATTGGCACTATTACGGACCATCATTTGGTATTAATGACCTTATAATATATGGAGGGTGTCAAGGTGATATTTCTTTTAATGAAAATGCTCTTAGTTATTGTCAAAAGGAATCTTATGAAAAACAGATCAGAGAAACAGGAGATAAATTTTCTATAGAAGAATATGAAGTTTTTCAGATACATGAATAAATAATAGATTAAATAATTTGCCAGGAAGTTGTGTGTAAGTTATTAGGGTTTGTACAATTTTATAGTTCAAAAAATTATTATTTTATTTATTAACAAGAGGTGGTTGTTGTGATTATGAATACGACCAGGTGTGAAAATAAAATATTCCTTTTGATTTTTTAAGATCTTCAAATAAAATTTAACATTCCGGAATTACATGATTTTTATGATTGTTAAAAAGAGAAGACAATTTTCCAAATGTTATTAAGTTCATTTTGTTATGTTATTCACATTTTAGATGTAAAACGCTATCCTATCTCCCTTTCTATAGGTTTGACATAAATGTCGCCTTTTTAAAATGCCCTATTAGGTTCGGCTGACCCATATCTAATTATTACGATTCATACAATCAACGTAGTCACAGTGAAATTCGATAAACCGGATCTACTGGTTCCACTAAAAATATCCAGTTTATCAGGATATCCGGTATAGCGAAAAAATTTTGATATATTGAAAATCTATTATACTGAATTTTTTTAAAAAAATTCATGCTAATAAAATCAATATACACTATATTTTAATTTTTTATCTTAGTTTTAAGTCATAGAGGTCATGAAAATGAATATAAAATATTTTTAATTGAATATATAAGTGATATATAACTTCGGCCGGAATTAAGATTTTTATAATTCTGGCCAAAATTAAGATTTACCACATCACGTTACTTTAATTTTATTGGTTAATGATCACATGATCCAGTTTATCGAATCATTTTTACTACTGTTGTAATGCCGTAGTATACCTAGTAAATTTATTAATTGTGGGGCGCAGTAT